AACACACACACACACACACACACACACACACACACACACACACACATACACACGAATTTCTCATTTAATCAGACATACTTTATTTTCAATATTTTCATCTTGTTCAATATCGATGGATGCAACGAAATTCTTGTAACATAAAACTTCTCGAGCAAACGTATCAGCTTTTGACAGCCTGAGAATATTGCATGTGCGTATCAAAAAAGGAAGGAGGCGGAGGGAAAAAGGCAGAGGGAATTCTCTTTACTTTATAGATACAAAATATTTGCTTAAGTGAAGTAACGGCTTACTTATATATAAAAATGAAACGTGAATTCTATCTTATTTGTATTTCGTTCGCGTGGCATACACGTGTGTCTCTACTTTCGTTTCTTCCTTTCCGAATTAAGAGCACGATTATCGTCCTCGTTATCCTAATAAAGCTATTCTAATAAATGCGTGGATGTGTGCGCGTGCACGTGCTAGCCAAGGTAGACAATTTTGTTGAAACGGGGGGGGGTTTCAACGTGCGAGCAGAAACCCCGGGAGGGAAGGAAACTTCTTCCGTACAAAAAAAGAATACGAGCTAATGGCAATAAACTTTTTCAAGGGAGTTAACTCCGCGTCACAACGATACGCGGAAATTTCATTCACTTAGACACTCTGGAACAAGTCCTATTACAGTTTACAACTTTGTCGTACGTGTTCTACAAATATATATTATGATTGTTATTACATAATCCGACTTGATCTTGTTATTGTTTCTAAAATAAGTATTAAAAGTATAAGTAAAGTAAACATAAGTAAAGTAAATATACATAAAATATAAAGAAGATAAAGTAGAATTCAAGTACTGCTAATCCTCTAAATTTTTCTATATAAGAATAATTTATCGATTTCTTCTATTTTCACTTTCTTCTATTCTTGTTCTTTCTTCAATATATAAATCCGCTATCGATCATGTTTGTGGTACAGGATCTTCTAATTATCTTATGAAGCTTGCTCGCGCGATTTCGAAACTTTTAGGAATTCTCTCTGCTGTGCTCCTCATGTTGACGTAATTGAAACTGATTGCTATCTATGATTAATTTCACTTTCGTGAAATTCCTCTCATATAACTTAAGACTTGATGTTGTTATCTAAGATCTATTTAAGATACAGAAAAACTGTCAAATATCCTTTTAAATGGGTTCTTCAATTTTTTCGCAAAATTATGTTATTGTATAAATTTTTAAATATATATAAATTATAAAGTTATACAGGATGTCTCAAAATTGTTGGGCGTCCTTTCTATTACAGATTCTTTAATTAACTTGAGTAAAATTCATCTTGATAAAAATATCAAAGCATGTATAATCTTCGAGTAATTAACGGTTAAAATTTTTTTTCTCTAAAATTTTTGATAAATTAAGTTACAGAAGAAAAGGAAAGATAAATGACAAAAGTATATATTTCAGATAATTCTAAATAGAGCTTAACGAAAATATGAAATGCATATCTGCAAATATGTATAATGTTAAAATTTGAAAGTTACAATGAACGACAGAATTGGACATCTTGTTCAGAGAAATTATTCTTGAAACCGTAAAAGTTGGCTGAAAGGATATCCGGTAGTTTTAGAATTTTCTGTATACGAGTGTTTGCACCCGAATCCTAAATGGCAATTCATCAATCTTCCGAATATCCTCCTGTCACTGCAGAATGCTCCAAAAAGCCCAGGAGGCCGACATTAACATTAACTGCGTGGATCCTCTCGGACGATCGGCCCTTCTCATGGCGATCGATAATGAAAATCTAGAGATGGTGGAGCTTTTAATAGAGCACAAGGTCGATACTAAGGATGCACTCCTTCACGCTATCTCCGAGGAATTCGTTGAGGCGGTGGAGGTCCTTCTAGAGCATGAGGAGAGTCTTCATAGAAATGGCGAGCCGCATGTAAGCATATGTTTGACGTATGAATAACAGAAAGAAAAAATATATATATATATATATATATATATATATAATATATTATTATATAAAATAATAATATAAATATATAATTATTTCGTACATCATTAATAAATTATATAATTATATAATATAATAATAAATCATATTACATAATTTCTTATTTAGTTTTATATTTGACTTTAAAAAAATATAAAAATTATTTTTCATTGTGTTTGAATTATTACTCGCTTGCTCGTTGAAGCCGACGAGGCTGTTGTAATTGCAGACAGCAATTGATAACTGAATAATAATCTCACAACTTTTATGCGAGATATGTGTAGAATAATCATATTCCAATTTTACGATCGAGCTTTATGTCGCTTATGTCATGTTATATCTATCATAATCCCGCATAATCTGGCACAAGACATAATCGTCGTGTGCGAAAATAAAATGCGCGTATAAAGGTTGATTAAAGGTTGATTAAAGTAAATTGATTACGCATTGTGTCGGTTGTTTTACAAGCAACTTCTTACTTTATTCCATCGTCAAGTGATCCTTCTCTCACCGCCATAAAGACAATTCCGCCGAAGTATATAAAGTCGCTCGCGGGGGCAATGAAGGAAAACGAGTATCCGGAAAAGTGGGAACGAGTTGCAATAAGAAAAAGGTAAAAGAATTTGAAATTTCAAACGGAGCTGTAATCGGCTTTCTTACGAGAAATCAGCTTACGCAGAACTTGAACGGAATGATATCCGGAGTCCGAAAGCGCCGAACGAATTCATTATATGGGGAGAATTGGTTCCCCGTGAAGAAAGGCGCTACCACCCGTGACGATGACTGATTAAGCCGATCACGCTGGTAACAATGGCAGCGCGAGTCTGCGCCAAGAGAGATTAATTGTTCGATTGCTTACATAAAAAGAAATATTCTCTTTATTTAGACGACTTGCCATTTCATTGTCGAGTTATTACCGGTTATTTTCGACGGTTGCCGGATCCATCGAGGGCTCGTTAAAAACGCTCGTAAATCAAACGTCAATTGCACTCAACGAAGAGTGATAACTGCAAAAAGCGGTCAGTGAATAATAATTTTGGATCGAAGGGGGCTAAATGAAAAATTGTTTGTACGCGTGCGGGAAAGAGACTAGCGGGCGACAGGATTTTATCAAAGTAATGACTTGCGGTTTAATTCTATAGAGCTGGGAGGCTTTGCCTCCTGATACAGCCACGTTCACGCCCGACATCACGCCGTTGATCCTGTCGGCCCACAGGGACAACTACGAAATTATAAAGATTCTCCTGGATCGTGGATCCACTCTGCCGATGCCACACGACGTTCGCTGTGGGTAAGACATCTCAAGAATCCATTAACCCTTATCGTAGCGAAGTAAAATTAATCGAGCTCAGTTTTCATATAATTTACGTTAAATCGCTCTGTTGGTTTTACTATAAATTCACATCGGATATCGTTTCGCGCATTTTATTTGTCAAACATTTTGAACATTTTAACAGAATTTCTGTGCAATTTATATTCGCAATAAAAAAATCGAAACCTTTGTTTTAATAATTTGTTTTCTTGTTTTCTTGTAATACGATTTTTATTATTACAAAAGACAATTCTGACGTTAGATAATAAAAATGCATTTAAAATATACTTCACATAAATCTAAAAAAAAAAAATCAGAGATGTTTTTATCCTTTCCAAGTTCAAGTCTTTTAAAATAATGCGAGCGCTATTTAATCTCACATTATTTTAGAAGCGTCCGATCGTTGATCTCTAAATAAGAGCGCTCTTTTTGGAGCTAATTAATACTCTCCACCGGTATATCATCTTATCCCTTTGTGCGGACGCGACAAAAGCTAATTAAATTAGGCTAAGCGTATATGAGCGCCGGTTACCATCATCCCTGTAGAGGGAAATTTAATCCATGAAAATCACATTATATATATTAAGCCCCGTAACCTTTTGTCCTGCATTGGAACTATGGAAAACTTTTCGAATGGGTATAACTAAACAGAGAGGAGGAAACTTTATATCGCGTCGTAATGTACCACATGAAAACGATATCATTTGCCTGGTGAAAACAATTGCGTGCAGGGAAGAGTTGTAGTAGTTTTAAACACACGGCAGTTTTAAATAATAATATTTTTCGAACAACAAAGTTTTGCGCGAAGAGGTACCATTTTTTGGACAAAAGCTGCGCGCTGTCCATGGATGAGAAATATAAGTACTTTGCACAGTGGTACAGCTTTTGTTTGAAAAATAGCGTTCCTTTCCTCGAAAATTTTCGCGAAAAATATTATTTAAAGCACGTTTAAAGCACTATTCGTTTTGCAAAGCTTGGAACATAAAAATAAATGTTCGATTAGTGATCAGTTTGTTCTCGATTTTAATTAAATTTTCCGTCGTTCTCGCACGAGTGACGTAACTCGAATATTGAGAGAAGAGATCTCAGTGACGTAAAAGATGATGTAACGTCTCGAGATACACAGCTGTCCTGGGAAATATTCAAGAAACGGTGACACCGCGCCTATTTGCCAAGAAACCCTTTTTATTGTTACAATTTGTTATCTATTCTAGATGCGACGAGTGCGTGACATCGAGGATGGAGGATTCCTTGAGACATTCGAGAAGCCGAATAAACGCCTATCGGGCGTTGGCGTCACCGTCCTTGATAGCACTGTCGTCTAAGGATCCCATCCTGACTGCTTTCGAGCTCTCCTGGGAACTTCGACGACTTTCGTTCTTGGAGCACGAATTCAAGTGCGAATATCAGGTAAAAAAATTGATATTTTTTGAAATTGTTATTCGTAAATAATATAGTTTCACGTTACATTTTTGTAGATGAAACTATCGGGTGCCAAAGAGTTTAGTTTGTGAAATGCTTTATAAAATAAACGTCAAGTGATATGTTTTGTTTCTGAAAACATGTTTCAATTTTTGTGAAATGTTTGCGATTTTTTTTTTAGTATTGAATTCCCAAAAATATATAAAGAAAATTGGAAAATTCATGTAAAACGTTATTGCAGGATTTTAAAGATAGGTGTTATAGGAAACATTGATAATATAAGTCTTATATTTGGTGAGATAAAATAAAAGAAAATTAATATAAAATAAAAATATCTCACCTTAAGAATATGAAGGTAAAGACTATTTATAATTTATAATTTTACTTATTTGTAAATTTTTTGTACTGTTAGTCATGAGATTAAGGTAGTTTTGTAATTTAAAAATTTCGTGAAATTTTTTAATTTTTTTAATTACACATATTACTTACATATTACATATATATCACTTAGAAATTAATTTTGAAGATGTAAAATCAATTATATTTAATTATATTTAATATTAATTGTTTCAATGAATTCATCATTGATTAATGTTATTGAAAAGTTATTGTTTTTAACATTTTAATTTTTAATATTCAAACATAAAAAGGTATATATCATACAATAAATATTTTCCATTAGATATTTTAAAAATAAAAAAGAAAGCCCAAGAAGGAAGCCAGATATATTCAAAACTTCTGTATTGAAATTAAATTAGTTTACAACTCCATATCTTCGTACGTCATGAATGGAAAGAACAGTTTTGCTGAAGTATAAAAAAAGTTAAAAATTAAAAATGTGTCCAGATATAAAAGTAATTTTATAAATTATTAAAATAATTATACGAGTCGCTTAATTGCATGATAATTATACTTAAAAAATTTTTAATATCCTAACAATCGATTTAAACATTCTACATAATTATTTATCGACGATTATTCGACAAAATTACTTTCGGATTAAATTTTTAGACTTTAGCAAAACCATTTTTTCCTGTATAAGTAAAAAAAATCTCTTCAAAGTCGATTCCAATCTGTGAATTCAGACGCGTTGTTTCCTCGGCGATATTTCTTTTTTGCCTAGCGATATCCTATTTTCACCAAACAGATTTCTCTCAGTTAGTGAGGTACTACGGTACGGCAGTTAACACGCGTTTCCCTTAATTTAGTTTCGGTTCGCGAAGATGTATGTCCACGGAATGCGCTTGCCTTTCCGTCCCTTTAGACTCTTGAGCTCGAATGCTCGTTTCCTCGAGCTCGACGTTAGCTTCTCTCCTTCCGTCTTTCGCGCCTCTTCTCAGTGCTTAAGTGACGAAAGTTTAAGCTCACCATGCTCGAGCAACTTTTGATTTATACGCGCATAAATTGCGCTTTGCAGTAGCAATACGCCAACCAAGCGGGCGCTATCGAGTTGCTTTATAATTTCCCTACCACGCCCTTTGTTCACCCTTTCCGCCTCGTCAACGTTTTGGTTTTCTTCTCGTACCCTTTCTCCGTACACTATCTATCCTTTTCAACACTATCATCAACCTCCCATTTCTTTTGACCCTTTGTTTTTTATTCGCCCACTTTTTTTCCTTGGGAAACTTTGTGTTTTTCCACTCCCTTTCCGCCGTTGTATCGTTTCCCCATCTTCCAAACGTCGATCTTGAGATACAGCTCAATGAAGACGACTTTGGAAGCAAAGTGAATAAAACTTGATAAATTGCCAGCGATCCTTCTCCATTTTTCTTCCATTTTCTCCTTATTTGTTCCTTATTCTTGAAAATAATTTTATTTGTAAGCTCTCATCCACTTGTCGATGGATTAGATACATGAACCCTCTTATGTAGTACATCTGCATGTATCGAAGAGAGGAACATATATTTTTCCCATGGTAGAAAACATTGAGAGGCACGTTAAATATTGAGTGTCTGTCTCACAAAATATCTCCACTTTACGACATCGTTGAGGTGGAATATAGGCAACTTAGTGCGGCAGACTGCAATTTGGGGTTACGGTGGTCTTCTTCTCCGATAAGAGGCGTGTAATCGTACAATTGTGTCGGCTATCTGCTCGACTTTGCTCGTTTACTTTTATTTCACATATATATGAACTATAAAAAGTAACGACGTAAAAACCCAAGTCCCTCGAGTAGTTCCCTCGAACGATTCGACGTTGGAGATTGTTGTATTCGAATTCGTATTTTTAAAAGTAGATTCTTACATCTGTGTGAAAAATAGATTATAATCGAACGATTTTCTCGTCATCCCTGTCTTTTTATGAAGGGTGGGTATAACTCGCCCGCGGCGATTCTCGCGTCCCGGCTAACAATGCGGGACACATCGCGGAAACTGTTATATCTAGCCAGTACGTGACAAGAATTCAATTGGACCCCGATTGGGCAAGATTGGCGAACGATTATAGGATAGGATCTCGAGCGCTTATCGAGCGCTTGCAGCAAGCCTGAAAATTTGATCAGCCACTGGCTTTGTCAAGCGCGCGAATTCCTTCTCGATTCGTAATTCTCGACACGCGAGGCGACAACACGAGGAATCCGTCGAATTTCCTCAGAGGAAAATTGCGACCGAAATTACCGGATTACGGGATTGGGAGAATTACTTTCGGTGAAGCTAGTAAATTAAATACTCCGCGGAGAACGAAAAATTGCATTACGGTATTGTGGCCGACAGCAGCTGTCGTTATGATTTCAGGAGCTTCGAAGACAGTGCCAAGATTTCGCGACTGCTTTGCTGGACCACACTAGAAGTTCCTATGAGCTCGAAGTCCTGCTGAATCACGATCCCACGGGACCAGCTTTTGAGCATGGAGAGAGGATGCATCTCAACCGTTTAAAATTAGCCATTAAGCTGAGACAGAAGAAGGTACGAAGCGCAAAGTGAAAGTGAAATAAATCCTACTTTTTTAATTATACTTCCATTAGCCGCGCGAGAACAACGTTTTTGCTGAGGTATTTAAAAATTTGATCGGATAGAAGTCTGAAAATAATTTTGCTGGAAAAAATTATTATAATATACTTAAACGAGTATTAAAATAATATAACGAGTATTAAAATAATATAATATACTTAAGCATAATGATACAGCAAAAATTTTCAATATTTTGGCAATTTGCTAATTTGAATATCCTACATAATTATCTTGATGGCCTAACAGAATTATTTTCACATCTGCATCTGACCAAATTTTTAGATGCTTCAGCAAAACTGCTTTTCCCGTGTAGTTGCGCGCGTGTTATTTATTTTCTGGCAATATATTTTTTAATACAGAAAAATTTTTATTAATTTATATTACCGCTATACGTATGTCTACTTCGTATTATGAACAACTGTGTGTGATACATAAAAAAAATTACTTACGTAATCATACATTTTCAATATATAATCGGTCATAAAATATGTCAAAAAAAATACGAAATATTTCACACAACTTGTATTCTTCTCATTCGCGTTGGTTGACAGTTACGTAACATATATGACGGATGTACAAACCATTAAAATACGTTATCTCTACAATGATAGCCACTCGCGAAGTAAGTATCTCAACGAGAGAATCAATTGGCATTGCAAAAAACCGACAACTATCAATTAATATTCGATATACTCGGGTCATCAATTTAACATTACTCTTTTTGAAAGCGGATTATCAGAGATAGATTGTCGCTGCTCTCGGCAATGAAAACCGCATTTACATTTATTCGAACTTTGTAAAGATTCAAATAATCGCTACGAAAAAAATGTTGTCCACAATTTCAAATTCGCGTAAAGTGTCTGACGGTGTTACCGCAGATTTCAGCGTGCATTATTGCATCTTTTGAGACATTATTGACGCACGAATGAGGCTCGATTGAAGAGAAGAATGGAGACGCGGAATGCTTGTTAGTTCGTTATAATTAGGGATGACGGTTGGACGATAGTAGAATCGCAGTTCAAATTCTGATTGCGTGCCACCTTCCTCGAGTCGCATGACCGGAAACTGTCGGTCAATATCGCGTTACCTGGATATTTCCAGTTCGTGGCGCATCCTAACGTGCAGCAGCTACTGGCATCGATCTGGTACGAGGGTCTGCCGGGGTTCCGAAGGAAGAATATGTTCCTCCAGGCGCTGGAGATCGTCAGGATCGGCGTCCTTTTCCCCTTCTTCAGCGTAGCGTACATCATCGCGCCGCACAGCATGGTCGGCCAAACCATGAGGAAGCCGTTCATCAAGTTCATCTGTCATTCCGCGTCGTATTTCACTTTTCTATGTAAGTACGTCTCCACTCTTCGCGCGTAATTATTACCGCGGCGTAATTTCATTTAGATAAGAATCCAATTTTGCGAGTCGCCGGCTTTTTTGAGCGTTTAGAGCATTTTTTTTTTTATCCGCTGACTATATCGAAAACATTGAGAGAGGAGCGGTCAAGATAAATTGTATCTTTCACGGCAACGCATGCGAGAAACTCATGAAGTGTTTCGTGAAAACAGATCGGTCGTTTCACACCCAGGGCGATTTCATGTCACGCTTTAAATCTAACCGCTTGGCCGACATCCGGCCGTAACCTGCCATTTCCTAGATTGTTTGCCACACTTGATCAGCGTGACCCAAATATCCGGTTCATTCCGGAAATATCGGTAGCACCGCTGAATCAGCTTCAGACTTACAACCCTCTTACAAGCATCTCTCTCTTTCTGGACTGCAATTACTGGGCTACGTACGAAATAATATTCGTTCCTGAAATCGACATACGAAATCATTTCGAGTAATCGTAGTTATGTTGGGACAAATGATTTCGAATCGATGCGTGAAAATTGATTCAAGTAATCAACAATCGATTCCAAAATCAATGGCGTTATGCAAGTCTCGCTGGAACAATCATATAATTGATATATCGCAATATATTTGTTTCAATAATTTTAAAATAATTTATCTCTCATTTTTACAACAAAATATTTCTAAAAATCTAGAAGTTTATTCTGAAAATTTTTAGCAATTTTTCTGTCTCCTGTTAACTTAAATTCTCCTTTATTAATTTGTGAGGCAATTAACCTTTATTCGCTTCTACGTTGATTATTTTACAAATAAGTTTGCAAAAAAATTTTCTTGAAACGTGAATCTTGTTTTTGTAATAAGAGAAATTTTTTATCTGCTAAAGGAGAATAAGAGCAATTATTAAATGGAATGTGTTTCCATCTAATTCGCATGTATATAAAAGAACGTATATTATGAGGCTATTACAGACAAAAGTTGATTTTATATCAACAATTTTCAAGTAATAACAAAGTAACAAAATGAATGCATTTAAAACAATATAGTAGCTCTCATAATAAAAACCTATTTTTATAATCTTATTTGGTTCCAGTACGGAAATTTAAAGATACAAAAACTTACGAGGTGGAATTTTATTTTTAGTTTTATCTCTTGGAAATACATTCATTTTTTTCTTTCTTTTAATTTTTTTATACGAAATTTTTAGTTTAAATTATTTCTACATCATCCACGCAGTTTTAGAATTATACTAACACATTAGTAATATTGTGCAAATTTTCTAATGTATTTTAAGTATCCAAATTCATTATAATTTAAAAAAATCTGAGCTTTTTCATAAAAACATATTTTGTATAATTTTGAAGGAATCCTACCGTTTTTTTTTTTATGATGTATAACATATTTATTACAGATAAAAAAAACAGAGAAACGAGATCGTATGATACATTTATAAAGTGAATTTTTTTCGAAATTTGACGTTTCACGTGCAATGACCGAGTAATTTCACGCGTTTACGATATCCAATATGATTCATTCTGCGGAAATATCCGAAAAGGAGAACGACACGCACCTAAAACAGCGTTTTCTACAGCGTGTTTAACTTCTCGGCACGTTGGCAGATCAAACATTCACGCGGCGAGCGTCAAACAGTTTACAAATACCTTTCGGTGCCGCTACCAATAATAGTCGTGCACTAATGTGCGGAATTCAGACGGTTAAGAAACATTACCACCACGAGATTAATTGCTCACCCGACCCGAGCGATACATCTTTGGTTGAACTCTCGCTGCCCTGGCGTTATCCGATTGTGTATTTACACTATTATAGGGTACCTGCTAGATATAGTAAATTTGGACGATAGATTTTTCTTCGCCGGAAAAAAGTTTCTATAAAAAGCTATTTCTGTGTCGCGTGTTTTCCAACTTCTAACATTAAACGCCCGAGATGCTAAGTCGCGAATTAAATCTGCGCTGAAACGGATTTCTATCTTTCATCTGAATCTCACCCTCTCGATCTATTATTACTGTTATGACCCAACATTCAAATTACGACTGTTTTGAATTTTTAACGATGACGAATGCGCATAATTTTGCCTGCGCAGTCATGTTAATTCTGGCTAGTCAACGGATAGAGAGCGTGATCGGTAATTGGATGGGGCACGATGTCGTGGAGCACGAACCAGCGCCGACAAAAAGGGGTGCCGCGCCAACGATCGTGGAATGGTAAGGTGCTTTCTTCAATTTTGCACTCGCTCTCACACAGCTGTTGTTATTCCGAACGCGATACAACGCGTTTCGTAATTCCGTTACGAAGTGAGGGAAATTTTATGCGCAATTCTGATAGGAAATTGAGAAAAGGGGAAAAAAAAATACATAAATAAGAAGTAAAAAAACAAAAACAAAGTGAAAAAAGACCGTGTAAAATCCATGTAATATCCACCAGCTTATGGCACTCTCCGTTCGTGCGGAGGGTGGTAATATAAAACGTAGAAGAACGTTATAATATAGTAAGCGTATATATATATATAGTAAGTCGGTGGTAAACGAGATAAACCCTAGAGACGCGCGTGCAATCTCGAAGGGCTTTTTTTCCACACGCTGACGAGATCGAAATGAGGTGATCAAGAGCCGTCATATTGCAAATTTATATTCACCTCGGCGTCCAGACCGATTTCACGTTCAATTTGGCATGCCATTAATAAAATGTCATGGAGATTTTGCTTTCGCGTGAATAAATCGATATGTAAAAGCACGGGTGATTATAATAATAAACGAGCGAACAAGTGTAAGAGGGAAAGAAAGGAAGAAGTGTAAAAGGGTAGCTAAACCTTTCGGATAAATCTCGGGTGTTATTGATTGAGTTGTCGGATACGTCGTTGAGAGTGGAGAAATAAATTGGACAAACAAGCGCGGGGACACGGGTTCCTTTCGAGTTTTGGAGCTGTGATTAAAAGTAGGTAACCGAAATGGCCGGCCGCAGGTTCATATTAGCCTGGGTGTCGGGGTTGATTTGGTCGGAGGTGAAACAATTGTGGGACGTGGGCCTGGAGGAGTACGTGAACGATATGTGGAACGTGATCGACTTCGTAACGAACTCGCTATACGTAGCCACGGTGGCGCTCAGGGTTGTAGCTTACTACAGGGTGCAAAAGGAGAACGAGGACCTGGCACCGGGAACGGTCGAGCTTCAGCGTGAGCAGTGGGACACTTGGGATCCGATGCTCATCTCCGAGGGCCTCTTCTCGGCCGCGAACATCTTCAGGTAATAAATTACAAGAGCCTCGATCTCGTGTATCTCCGTTTTATATATATATATATATATATATATATATATACGAGCCATATGAGGGATAGTATGAGATTGTTATAAACCGCAAACGCAATTAATCTCCGCTCCGGATCTCACGAGTGGCCGCAAACTATAATCTTTTTATTCTCCCGTTTGCGAGATGATAAAACGAATTACGATGTACGCCGCGATATCTCTCGGCCGTAATCTCTAGTTATAATAGTTTTCGAATTTATGCGTTTAGAATACGTGCTTTGAATGCGAATGACTCGTATACCGTGCTTAAAGTGCAAATGAATCTTTGATTACGTTGCGGAGTCAATGCGGATTAAGTGCGACACAACTCGTTTTCAGAAAGTTAACGTAGGAAATTACTAACAGCTTGGCGTTATCCGGATTAAAAGCAGCCAATAATATTGCGTTACAGTTCGCTAAAGCTCGTCTACATATTCTCCGTGAATCCTCATCTCGGTCCTCTGCAAGTTTCTCTGTCGAGGATGGTCATGGACATTATGAAATTCTTCTTCCTCTACGTGCTGGTTCTCTTCGCTTTCTCGTGCGGTAAATGAAATAAAAAAATCACGATGAAGTATATATTGCGCCAAGATAAAGATTAATATAAAAAAAATTCTTATTACAGGTCTCAATCAACTTCTCTGGTATTACGCCGACATGGAGAAGAAACGATGTCACACAGCGTATCCTAATGCTAACATCACTACCGATTCCAACGCGTGCATCGTTTGGCGTCGATTCGCAAAGTATGCAATTTATCTATTATTATCTTTTATTAATTATAATTTAATATTTTAATTAATATTTTTAATTAATTAATTTTTTTTCCACGAATATACATTATCTATAAAAAATAGAATCAGAATACATAGAATTAAAAGGAATTTAATTTACGTCGAATTCTCGAGATAAAGGAAGAAAATGAAGAAGGAAAAAAGTGATGTATTATTAGAAAAACTAGATTTTACAGTTATAACATAAAGTTGTATATTTTGTATTTTAGAATTATAGAGTTTTTTTTATTGTTCTACGATTGATCGTTCTATCGTTGTTCTACGATTGATCCTTCTATCGATTTTTATTTTATAATAAGAAATTTTGCTAACAGTTTGTTTGAGACAATACAAACACTCTTTTGGGCGGTCTTCGGTTTGGTGGACCTCGAGAGCTTCGAATTAGATGGCATCAAGGTGTTTACCAGATTCTGGGGTATGTTGATGTTCGGCACGTATTCGGTTATTAACATCGTCGTCCTCCTGAATCTTCTGATCGCCATGATGAATCATTCCTATCAACTAATCTCGGTAAGTGCAGTATCTTCAGAGAAACTTACTTACGAGAGTTATACATCATATATATATATAAAATTGTAATCTAACTAAAAACCTAAGAGAAACGAAGAAAATGAGAAAGTGTATAATGAATACCTAAAGTTTGCGCGTGTTAAATGTTGCATCAAATGGATTAATAGTACGACGAACGCGACATTCATTCGCAGTGAAAATTAACTAACAACCAAAAAAAAAAAAAGAAATTCGAGCGCGGAGAGATCCCTGAAATACGTAGAACGATGTCGGTCGTAAAAATACGCGGCGACTCGTATTCCTTATCCGTACTTTTCGCATTTATAATTAGCCGAAACTAATTAGCGAGGTGATTCGGTGCTCGTAATTAGGAACGCGCCGACGTCGAGTGGAAGTTCGCGAGGAGCAAACTTTGGATCAGCTATTTCGAGGAGGGTGGTACCGTCCCGCCGCCGTTTAACATCATACCGACCCCGAAGAGCGCCTGGTACGTCGCACAGTGGCTGTATCGGAAGCTCTGTGGACACAGCAGGGCGGCTAAGAAGGAACACATGCGAACAATCAGGGTAAACGACAGATTCTTGGATTTTCGCGGAGTAGAAATGGCGTCCGCGACGCGCCGTCGCCATTGTCAGAAAATTCCCCGGAGGATCCCATTCTCCTTCAATTTTCAAATTGGCCATTTTTAGTCTTTCGCGTCATGCAGAACCACATAGAATAAGATGTCAATGTTAAAGTATCGTGGGAGATTCGGGAACATTGGAATAATATTGAAATGTGTATTCTTATCGTGAGAGACGCCCTTTACGAATTTCTTTGGAATTTCCTCGTCTTCGTTTTGGTTTTTAAAATTAGGTTTTTATGTGGCAGGAATATTTAGAGCGGAATTTCAAGTGTCGGGAGAGAAATTCGCAGCTTCTTTTTTTGTAGAATCTGCAAGGGATATTAAATCGAAGGAAGTTTTGTCGTTATTAGTCACAACCGTTCTGCTATCGTATACGTTTATGTATAGCGTAGGTATGTACAAAGTTTTTCAGACTTACCAACTTTTATCTACAGATATCTCTCGAAAGGTTCAGAAGCAATTTTCAAGAACAACGAGAGCTCCTCTCGTCGATTTATAACAGATAAAAGCTTTTCAAAGTGAAAAAAAATCATATGCTTTACTTAGTTTCATCGTTTAAAAATTTGGAGAGTTTAAATCACCGTATAATTATATACATTCGATATAAAATTTATATAAAATTTAAAATAACTAATTGTAGAGTCGTGAGTGATATTCAGTAAGATTTCGAAAATACATCATAGTTGTGTTCGACATTTTTATTAAAGAGAAATCTAGTGCACCAAAGAATCCGTGATATAACGGTTCGACAAATCTGGGACGTTGCTATATAAAGCAACGTGCACTTTGCAACGAAAACTTGCGGGGCTGAAGGGATTTCCGATTCTTGTCTTAGCGAAAGGTCAAGCAAGCTTCCGAGCGGGACTTTAGGTATCAGAGCATCATGAGAAATTTGGTAAGACGCTACGTCACCGTCGAGCAACGCAAGGCGGAAGGCGAGGGCGTCACGGAGGACGACGTGAACGAGATCAAACAGGACATCAGTGCGTTTCGTTGCGAGCTCATTGAAATATTGAAGAACTCCGGCATGAACACTTCCACCGCGGCGAGCAGCGGTACCGGTAAGTCGAGAGGCGAGAGGAGACGAGAAACTAGATTGCCTGCATGAGCAGCATCGATTCGGTTTGCAGTTTTGGTTTTTGCTAATGTAGGAGAGTTGTTAAGCGAACGGATATTGATGACGCAGAGTGTTTTCCAATTCCCTTTGAAAGGAACGGATTTCCGCTTAGCGAACAATATTGTTGTAAGGTTTACCTCGCGAGATGAATCCGTGTTACGCAAACGGAATAAAATTATTAATCCCTCGTCCCGCGGCGGTGTAATTAAACGATGTTTTGATACTGAACAAAAAGTACATTCGTCGAACGGGGACGATACGAATGCGTCGCTGCCGCCGAGTTGACGATGAAAATTATACGAAACGACGGCGCAATTCCTAGTAATCCGCAGATTGTTAATCGCATCACGCGGAGCGTCGAAACTTTGGATTTAACTCAGCTCGATTCTGCTCGGGAATATCAATCATTATTTTATTCGCAGTAACGTTCGCATTAGTCACCGAGGAAGGATAACCCCCTTGTAATTCGGAGCTAAAGAAAGCGCCATTAATCACACGCCTGGACCTCCAGGGCTAATTACCTTAATTAAGAATTTGCTCGATGACTCTTAAGATGTCGGCTTAATTCTCCAATTGATCGTAATAGAAAAAGAAACGTAGATCATTTTGTCGCTCGCATAAAGTTTTGTATAAATAGATATTATTGTTAATTTAATTTTTATTTTCTCTCTTTTTCAATTATAATAGATCAATAACCATTAATCTCAATCATAGTTAAACATTACTTAACTTTTATAAATAAAACTGCATTTTTACACATTTTTATTTTACGTAGATTACATTGAGAAAGCTTTGCAAACAGAGAACCGCACGGATGTTAAAAAATACAGAATAGAAATTATTTTTGTTCTTATAACATACTAATGCGAAGAAAATAAAAAAAAAAAATCTTAATTTATTTAATACTTTCTACATTATTTTCGTATTTGTTTTCTATACAATTTTCTATATATCGATCAATTATCAATGTAATATAATTGAATTTAGCGAATATAATTTAATGCTTTTTGGCGCTTAGAATATAAACTATGAACTTTTCTCTTGTTTCTTCTTGTCTCTTAGGCTAAGGTTAAGTTTTTTTTTTGAGTTAGTAGATTGCTTGAGACTGCTCTTCGATTTTTTGTTTGTCTCCTAGACGATTGCCTTAAAGAGCTGTCCGTAGGTGCGGGTGGCAAGAAGAATCGCCAGAAAGAGCGGCGTTTGATGAAGGGATTCAACATCGGGCCGCAACCAGGCGGAAGCGGCACCCTGCCCCCTGTGGCCGAGTTCATCGCGTCTCTTCAACAAGCACAGCAGGAGAACTCCCATCCTGACTTATTCGGCTCGACTCTGAGCGGCATATTCGGGCCGGGCACGACTCCGAAGAAGAGCCCACATCACATCAGCACTAATAGTGTGCCTGGTCTGGCCACCGCGCCTCGACAAAACCGCGGCACGAGAAGTAGCTCTCGAAAGAAACGCTGGGGTACTCTGATCGAGGCCGCGAAATCTGGAAGAGTTTCCAGACTGATCGGTAAGTCGAGCAAGATTTGAATATTTTGAATATCCCTATTTAATATTAATCATTTTAATGTTATGATATTTTAATATCGTAATTAATCTCGCGCGATGCAATATTATACGCTTGCTAAAATATTGATTAGATATAATTTGAAAAATTATACGCTTCACTAATTAAAGTTACGAAAGTACTTAAAAATATAACTAAAAATGAAGAACATGGAGTAAAAATTTCTTATTATTAAATCTTTAAATCGACATATATTTTTTATTTTTCATTTCTTTTCTAAAAATTTCGATTTAATACTCTTTTACTCTGATAAATCTTTCGTTTTGTTTTAATAAAACAATAATGGAGTTTATGAATAAACTTTATGAATAAACGAACATTTTCTCTTCCCAGGTAGATCTCGTTCGGAGGACTCGGTGTACTCGCCGGCGTCCGAGGACGGCGGGACGCGGTCCGAGGGCTCCTCGGATTCGAAGTCCTCCTTGGAGGGTGCCAGTCACGATATACAAAGCACGCAACATCCCCATCACTCTCACTCTCATCACGCGCACCATCACGAGGCGCATCACATGTTTGCCCACGGTCTGGGCCCGGCTCTGGCCGCCCTGAGGAAGAAGCGCAAAAAGTTCTCCGCCTCGAGGTTGTCCACCCCCGCGATGACCAGCAGCACCAATACGAATCCCGCGGACTCGAGCGCGACGTCCTCGGTCGCCACCGTCTTGGCATGCAGGGTTTACTCGAAAAAGCAGCTGCAACGCGCCAGCAGCGTGCCCACCCGGGGCCCCGAATTAACGCCACAATCGTCAATAACGTTGTCACGACGGCACGAGGTCACGCAGAGCCAGCAGCCTAGCCTCGACGTCGTCGAGATCGCCATCAGCGAGCGTATCAACGCGCAGCAAGGTAAGCCGATAGCGTTGTTACACGGGATATTATTTCACGGCAGAGTGTGTGGGATGAACCAATTATATCGTGCGTATAACTATGCGGTATATCCATTATCCGCCACTTGATTTGAACAATTACACGCGCGCGTAATTAGAACATATTGTAAATTATGAATAACCAGAAAGATATGTAGGCATTCGTTTCTGACGTATATTTTTATCCAAATTTATGTGACGATGCTAATACAATTTTATATTAGATTGTTTTCGTATAAAAATGTTTCGTATATAATTTTTAAGATAATATAATTTATAAGATTTTTATAGGCGGAAACGAGCAGACATTTACGAGCGGTCGTTGTTTTCCAGGTGTCGTCGTTCCGCTGACGCCGTCGACCACCGAGGAGAGCGTCGTGGCGAGCGGCTCGACGTCGATCACGGCGAAGCGAAACGGATCGGCGACGCAGCTGCAACGTCTTCCCGGTATCGAGCCGATTTCCGGCCACGACGTGTCCGCCGGCTGGCTCTGAGGAAACGGATGTGTCGCCGACGGGCGGCGGCCGACCAGCTGACACAGGAAACACCAGTCGGAACTCAGCTTCGAGCTTCGTTTACAACGGCCATGAGGCTAGAACGACGTCGACGACGATCGTGCTCGCACATGCACGTGCACGCACGCACGCACGCACGCACGCACGCACGCACGCACGCATGCACGATCGTCCCGACATCGGCAGACGCACAATGATGCCTTCCTCGCGACGCGACGCGTCGCGTCGCGCCATGCCGATTAAACGTAAGACCGACGTCGATCGGGAATCTCGAAGGAACCCTGTCTTTCATCGGAGTCTATATATTCTCTTCCTTTTTTTGCGAATCCTTTTAATATTCTTTCATTACGAACGCTTCTTCTTCCATGAGATGATTGCCAGTTCAGATTATTGGTACGTTGTATTTATTAAGAATTATTTCTGTCCCTATACACATATTTATTTTTATATTTTATGTTAAGGTAAATGTTCCAGTAATCATGACATGTAACAATGCGGAACCAAGATTGTTGAATTTTTGTTAAGATTCACGATATAATTTTTTTTTAAACGTTAATTTACATAATATTTAAAATAGCTCATCATATAAATATCTTTAAATATTTAAAGATTACAATTTTAAAAGTTTAATAAAAAACATTCCAAATTAGTGATAATAAGTTTCAAGTGCAAGTGTCTCTGAATACAGAGACATATTCGATCACTGGAACATTTATTTTACATATTCTCTCAAATTAGAGTTTCTACCGTTACTCTGACGAGTTTCTCTTTTTTCTTTCTTAAACTTTTTTACCGTACATAAAATCGTATTATACGTCGTTTTCACAACAATCTATTGTTCAATCATTTTTAACGTTAGTAAAGCTGACGAAATATCACGTATGATTGATCGCGGTACCTTCTCACGCGGCTGTCTCTGAGCGACGATCGACGGTAGATTGTACTGAGAATTATTACTATTACTACTACTGCCAGAACGGAAGTGGCAAATGGGAGTCGGCGGTAAATAGCCTAGTCAACACTAGTCAGTCAGATCTCGTAACAAAAAGGGGAAAAAATGAACGATTATTACTATATTATTAAGTTAACTATCGAGGGACGCAACAAATTACGTTACCTCAAGCAGAAGCTCTCGCGTCTCTTCGGAGAGCTGGTCTATCGAAGAACGAGACTCGTAGCCTCCTACCTTTTCAAGTAATCGACGGTTTCTTCGACGATTTATTTCTTCCACACTTATCTCATTCTAGTCGCGAACGACTTAACTGGTAGCCACCGTCAGCGAACGATTTCTAATTATTTTTTATTCTACGATAGTTTAGAAACGGCCACAGAACGCGCGCGCGCGGGGCGCGGGGCGCGGGGGTTCGAGAGAATCAATTGTGTAATAATCCTTTCGTAAGGCATGCGTGTCATAAATTGCGCGAAAGAGAGACGATCGGATCCTTAAAAATCCCCATCTCTGCAACATTCCGGTGTGGAATTTATTCGCTCTTAATTGGAAGCCTCGTAATTGCTGACGAGCCGACTTCTGACGATCCAAGCCGCGCAACTCCTCCGCCTATATTTGGACTGTCGAACAACTAAAATCTTTTGTTACGTCGAGTCATAAAGTCGAAGGCGAAGGGACGCCGAATCGACTTCGCCCGAGTTTCTCGCGAGACGCAGAAGAGAGCAGGAACAAGTGGCACGACCAAAGAACACGCCGTAGTACATAGTCGAGTAGTGGCCTAAAGGAACGAGAGTCCTAGATATTACGTACTATTTCCTAGATATTACGTGTATGTACGTTAATAATTATTATTATTATCATTAATGTCAAACGGATCGCGCGATCAGCACCACTAGGTAAGTTCCCGAGGAGCAAGTCGCCCTGAGGGCATTGTCCAATTGCTCCCTCGCTTCGTTCCCCTATTCATCATCGATCTTCCCGTGGTCTCGATAACGCCGTAAGAGAGATATAGTCATTATCGAATGACGCTATGTATTTACCCAGCGTATCATACCGTCGAATTAATAAATTCCTTAAATAGAATAGGATTTAAGGTGCGCCATAAAAAAGAAATCAGACTGTTTTATAATTGATATTACGCGAGGAGTGCGTGATTTTAAAGAAAAGACACTCAACGTGACGGTTTGGCACTCTTGGTAGATGTATAGTAGATTTAGTCATTATACCACTTACGTGTATTATTTATATATGAGATTATTAATGTAACTGTGTGAAGCTAGAGTTTCGAGTTTGGCGATAAGTAGCGAGTGTTTGTTTGCGAACGGAAAAGGACCGCGACCGAAACGTAAGTGGAACCAACTGATTTCGATAGGCGCGAGATAGATCCCGGAATTATTTGACAACAGTCCTGCGAGTCCGATCGAATTTTCTCACGATGTATAAAAGTGGCGGAATTTTTTCTATTTGCGAAATTACGTGTTACTTCTATATACGCGTAAATGTATGCGTCACGAGAAATAATGGGAAACCGTAGTGGCGTCGAAAAATCCGCTCGAGGTTGCATTTTTTAAAGAGAACCGATCGCTATTCAGAATCCGTAGTAAATTGTAGGCGCATGAATTTTTATACAGAGTATTTCAAAAATGGAAGTCAATCGTTCGGGAGGGATGATTAAGGATCCAAAAACGAGAAAATTAGTTAGAATAAAAATCCAAGCGTTGTTTTCGAGTTGTCACCATTTTTACGTTGAAACTTCAAATTGCTTCGCTTCCGAATTTTTTTTTTTGTCAAAATTGAAAGAAGAGAGAGAAACCCATGTTCATATCAGCTTCCACTTGTTTTTGAGACTCCATTCATCTCCCGAGTGATTGACCTCGACTTACGGAACATCCTGTAGAGGACATAAGCAATTAATATCTGCGGTATTAATTGCTCGGTCGATCATGTGCATTGCTCGAGGCGTTGTGTCACATTTTAAAAATACGATGGCGTGTAACGAGAGACGTGAATTAATTCCGGATTTAATTCCAAGCGCGTTTTTTACGCATATCTGTGATACGTCAGCAGAGTTTTCTTTCCACATTTGGAGCAACACCACAATGCAGCTAGTTAACCGTTTCGTTTGATATGCACGATATTAATTTGTTGCGACGCAAACTACGAGATTTGAGTGTGTTAAATTTGAAAGGATGCGTTATGGGAGACAGACGATATTTATATAATCGCTTTATAACGATTACGTCATCAACGCTGCGTTTTATATATATCGATTGAAATTCGATGGGAATCAGCAGGTAGAAAATGACACAGGAAGTGACCATTAATAAAATATCGTTTATTCTGATAATCCGTTTATTTCGTATTCAGCGTTTTGTAGCAAGGGCAGAACACAGCATAATGTTTATAACGCGATTAATTTGAAAAGAGGCAATATTGGCAATGGAGGACCGGCAGTAATGTACATCGATAGTCTATAAAAGCATCGATTAATATTAATTGGAATGTTCAACGTGGATCACTTTGCGAGTGATGTAATATACGTGTAATATCATTGAAGTATCTCAGTTTCCATTGCGCACGATAATCCCAATTGATTTCAATAGTTACAGTTTCTTCTTTTTTTTT